TTTCTTCCATACCATACTTCCTATAATGTTTTCTTCTTCACTATTTTCGTTGGACATTAATTTAAAATATATACAATTGTCGATACCGTTTCTGCCTAAAACAAATGTGGCAAATCTTTAGTTATCAACATATTTCTGACCATATTTAAAATTATTCGATTTCTTCTTTCTCAACTCCATTGTGTTATGGTGTGTATGGGGGTACAATTTCATGTAAAATATCATTCTTCTTGCAAAATGATGTAAACTCACCATTGTTGTATTCTCTACCACCATCCGATCTTAATACTTTAGTAGCTCGACCACACTATTTCTCGATCATCAATTTAAAATTGATTAAATGACTAAATACCTCTAACTTCTTCTCGAGTAAGTACACTCACATCTTCTTGTTATAGTCATTGATGAATGTCACAAAATACCTTTTACCACCTAGTGAAGGAACATCAAAGGGTCCACACACATCGGTATAAATAACTTCCAACACATCCTTGTTTCTAATCTCGATGCGTAACTTAAAAGGATTTTTAGCTTGTTTCCATGTCATGCAACCTTCATATGTCTTTATATTTTTGGACTCGAGACAATCCAATCATCATCTCATTTTCTTCAAGTTAGCTTAAATTATCAAAGCCAAGATGACCATACCTTAAATGCCATAACCATAGATATTGTTGTTGTAAAACACAAGTTATTCGATATTGGAATATCAACTCGAAAAACTCTGTTCTTACTCAGAAGTGCTTTTAAAACTGATGTCTCATTCTTATCGAGGATTCTCAACATTTGTTCACTCGATATCCAATCGATCAAATATCCTTTATGAAGATATTGACCGATACTCAACAAATTGTGCTTTATGACTAGAACATAGAGCACATCTGAAATATTACAGATTTATCATCTCTTCTTTTGATCATGATTCTACGTTTCCTTCACAACTCACTATAAAATTATCTACACATTTTACTTTCGATTAAAAAAAAAGAAAAAAAAGACTATCGATTGTGAGGAGCTATATTGCTTCCCTTCTTAGCCTCGTCCACCATTGTTTATACCTTTTCCTTTTTCTCAATCTCTCTTGTTCGAGTTTTCTCGATTTCCTTCATTATTCTAGTTTTGTTTCGTCAATAACGTTTGTTCTGTGTTGAACATTTGTTTTACTCTCTCACATAACCATTGTTTGTGAGCCTTCAATGATCTAGTAGTTCATCAAGTTTTAACAAATCGATATCCTTATATTCTTTGATAGCTACAGAAATTATGTCGAACCTACATTGAGGGTTCTCACCACCTTCTCCGCTCATTCTTTCAAGCTTTCACCACAAGACTTCATCAAGTTTGTAATCAACAACAATCTTGTAAAGTATTCTTGAATAGTTTCTTGCATCTTCATCTGTAACAATTCATACTGATGATGCAAGATTTGAAGTCACATCACCTTCAATCTCTCTTCCCTTGCATAATTGTGCTCTAGTATATTCTATGTTTCTTTTGTCGAGTTTACCAACAAAATATTCTCAAAGTTACTTTCATCAATACACTAATGAATGTAGAACATAACTTTGCAATCACGTTTCTTTTTCTCTCAAAACATCGCACGCTCACTACAAGAAATCGCTTATTTCCGACGGATTTTTACCGACAGATTTGTAGTCGTCGAAAAATTAGTTATTACCAACAGAAATTACCGAATATAAAGTATTTGTGGAAATTGGTCTTACCGACGGATATATTCGTCGGTAAATTAATAATTAGTTACCGACGGATATATCTATCGGTAAATTCGTCGATATATTAATAATTAATTATCGACAGATATATCCGTCGATAAATTAACAATTATTTATTGACAGATATATCTGTCAGTAAATCTGTCGGTAAATTAACAATTACTTACAGACGGATATATCCATCGGTAAAATTATATAATAATTACTTAATTTTAAATATATTCTATAAATTAATTATTCACCTAATTAAAAAATTAAATATTTTTTCTATTTTATAAATTAATTTAATCATAATTAGATTAATTTATAATAATTTATTAAATTAAATAATTTTAAAAAATAAATATTTAATTATATATAAATATATAAATATATAAATATATAAATATAAAAATATATAAATATATAAATATATAAATATATAAAAATATAAAAATATATAAAAATTTAAAAATTTAAAAATATAAAAATGTAAAAATATAAAATATATAAATATATAAATATATTATATTTATAAATTTATTTGGATATACATTTATTTGTATATAAATATAATGTATTGTAAACTATAATTGAAAAATTCGATAGCTTAGTGGTTGGAATATCATTCTCCAACTCTAAGGTACTTGGTTTGAATCCGGGTTCGATTTTTCCACTTGTAGTGGCTGCACTTCCGTGGAGTAAGATGTTATTATGCAATCTAGTTCTTGTCATCGTCATTCTTTTTCTTTATTTTCTTCTTCTCAGATCTTGAAGCTTTGATAATATTTTTAGCAAAAAAGTCTAAAAACAAATATCGAAAGAGTATTAAGAGAAAAAAATACACTAAATATAATTGTATTTAATGTTAGAAATAAATTATATAATTACATACCTAAAATACTACAAAGACACCATATTTAAATTGAAGTTTATTAGATTTGATAACTTAACTTATGTATTTATTACTTATTATTTAAAAGATAGATCTAATAATTTTACATTGTCAATAACCCGAAAGTCTCTGCTTATTGGTTTTATTTCAGATTATATACATGATTGTGATTATTTTTGAAAAATCATATGCGGTAAGTCCTATCACTTTTCTTTTCTTAATCCGCTTTATTTTTTTCCATTTTATTTTGTTTGTTTTCTTGTGTATTTGGCCGTGAACTTCCTTGAACCTTCTTGGAAATTTTCATGGTTTAAAACTTTTTTTGACTTGATAGACCATTTACATGAAAAAAAAAAGACTAAGAAACTTGTTATTGAAAAATATACTTAAGTGTGTTTCTTGGTGAAGAGGTCATCGTCCTCCAATAATTTACATGCATATTTAAAATTTTTACATCTTAAATTTAATAATTATTAAATATATTTATTTTAAATTTAATCATTATTAAATATATTTATTTTGTATATTTGTAATTTTAATTTTAATTTATTTTATTTTTTATTTATATTTATTAATAACATATTATTTAATTCTTAAAGTTAAAATCCGACACTATTTTATGTATGGATTGTCGGTAAAACAAAGTGAAGGAGTGCGAAAACCATTTTCTCCGTTGTCTACAATTGGGACCATGAATTTTATTTTCTCTAAGAAATGAAATTAGTTAACGAGTAATGAAACGCACAAATAATCTTTTTTTATTAGTTAGGTCATAATAGAAAAGATAAAAAGATGCTAACATCGTTTTTATAAGACAAATTTTTGCATATATTTTTTCAAAGGACTATTTTTTTTTTTGAGGAACTGATTTCTGCATAATTTTAGTTAAAAGAAAATAAAACTATGTCAATTTCCGAAACTAATTATTCTTTGAAAAACAGCCTAAATTTTGTATTTAAAAAGTTTATCGTACTCTTTATTTATTTTTAAAATTTTAGAGTCAAGCTAAGAACATAAAATAAAACCTTCATATAATAGATTTTGTTAAATAATTTAATTTGCATTATTTTCTAAACATGATCTTAATGAATGTGCAATTTTATGGTGGAAGACATATGGATGTCCATAAAGTTATTTAAAACATGGCTAATGCTCTTATGCATGTCACCAAATTAAATATACATATATCTTTTTCCTCAACCATTTTTCCCTGAAATAAACTCAACTTTATATATTTAAATATTGTTTAATTAGTTCTCACGTAAGTTGGTGCATACGACATGCCTGGCTTGCTTTTTTGTTTCCTTTCTTCCCTATTATTTAATTACAAACAATATTATTATTGTCTTCCGTTTAAGAACCATTTCCAAAAAATATTTAAAATTAAATCTTTTCGATAACTTTTTCACTTCCAATATTTTATGATCTACTTCTTTCAAATTATTCAGTGTATCATTTATTTCATCTGTGCTTTTAGTAATTTCCTACATACCCAAATAAATAAACTGTTTTTTTTTTTTAATTATTTTTCTAATCTGTCAATTCTTGATATCTTCTTACTGCATGAAAAGAAGTAATGGGTATATTTGCATGAAATTTGTTGTTGTTGAATTGGAAGTATAATTAAAAAAAAAAAAAAAAGTAATGAGTGGTGCAGCACATATATAAACTTGACTAACGCAACGGAAATTGATGATAATCCTTGAAAGTGGTGGTCCAGTCAATTCTATTCTAAAAGTAGTTCCGCGGTCTATAATTATATAATGTGACTTGCTAAGACTCAGTTTGTTCAAAATCTGAGTTGGTGTAAAGCATTTTGAGCATATGCAATTATGATTTCTTTTTCTTTTTTTTTTATCCATCATCCATTTTATATTCAAACAAAACTACTACATATTCGTAGAAATCATCACAAGGGTCAAGGAGTAGTATACTCCTACTCATACCAAACTTCACATCGGATATACCCTCACACTCATACATTTTTGGCTTCTCTACAAACCTACCACGGGTATTGTTTTTATTTAGTTTTTTAAAGTGGTTTAGTCTTGTTGAATTCCTATGACGTAAAATATTTTAACTTTTGCTTACTGTCTTAAAGACAATTCTGATAAAAGAAGTGTAATTTCATAGAAAGTGAAAAAATATATTGCCACAATATGAGTAAAAAGTAATTAGGCCTGAATGTAAAATTTTCCATTTTGTTTACCTAACCAAAATGGGATAAACTGTAATAGCTAAAAAATTTACCAAAGGGAAGCATGGGAAGATGAAGAAAAAGAAAAAAAAAAGTGGAAAAGCTTGTAAAAGGGTAATGAAGTGAAAATAAAATGAGTGAAATAATGAAGGAGGAGAGAGGGGCATTTGGATATTTGTGATGAAAGAGAGAGGGCATGGAGAATCCCAATGCTAAAGCTCAGAGACACAGACAGCTGAGGTTACTGTTGTCACTCCCTGGCCCTGTTTTCTGACCAATTAAACTAAAAAATCCCCACTTTCTCTCTCACTCTCTCTCATCTCACTCACACACACTACTGTCACTCTCTCCCACCTCCCATATCATCTCACCTTCTATACTCTCTCCTCCATTCTCCCAATTCCAGTTCTAACTTCCCTTTCTCCCATTCCCACTCAAACCAATCAAACCCCACAAATCCAATACCCTATCAACCAATCAAGGATTCCGATCTTTTGAATCCAAATCCACAGCCCGCAGATCAAACAACATCGACCCAATCAAACAAATGAGAGAGAACCATCCTTCCACAAACTCCGAGGACGACCAGCGATCCTCCCTGCTGGATCTGGCGCGCGCCGAAATCACGGAATCATCCAACTCCAAGACCCGAACTTACGGGGGGTTTCCGGATCCGGGTTCCGGGTCGGGCCCGTCGGAGCCACAGGCACCGTTCCCGGACCAGGTCCTGGAGAACGTGCTGGAGAACGTGCTCCACTTCCTTTCCTCGCGACGCGACCGCAACGCCGCCTCATTGGTGTGCCGCTCCTGGTACCGTGCGGAGGCCCTCACCCGATCCGAACTCTTCATCGGGAACTGCTACGCGCTCTCCCCCACCCGCGCCACCACGCGTTTCACGCGCATCAAGTCCGTCACCGTCAAGGGCAAGCCGCGCTTCGCGGACTTCGATCTGATGCCGCCCGATTGGGGGGCCCACTTCACGCCTTGGGCCTCCGCCTTGGCCCAGGCCTACCCCTGGCTCGAGAAGCTCCATCTCAAACGCATGATCGTCACCGACGCCGACCTCACCCTCCTCGCCGACTCTTTCCCCGACTTCCGCGAACTCGTTCTAGTCTGCTGCGACGGCTTCGGCACTCCCGGTCTTGGCGCCGTCGCTGCTAAGTGCAGGTACAGATCTCACCTTTACTCCTCCAATAAACTTTTGTAAAACCCGTGAACTCGATTTATTTTACTTTCTGAGAAGTTTGTCTGTCCAAATGCAGCTTTAATTGATTTCTAATTTTGAGCATTGTTGTTTGTGTTGTGTGGTGTTGTGATTAGACTGCTTAGAGTGCTTGAGCTTGTGGAATCTGTGGTGGAGGCTGTGGGCGATGAGGAAGTGGATTGGATTTCGTGTTTTCCCGACAGCCAGACCAACATGGAGTCTCTTGTGTTTGATTGTATTGAGTGTCCTATTAATTTTGAGGCTTTGGACAGTTTAGTGGCTAGGTCGCCTCGTTTGAAGAAGCTTCGTTTGAACCAATTTGTTTCCATGGCTCAGCTCCATCGTTTACTGCTTCGAGCCCCGCAGCTTACTCACCTTGGAACAGGCTCCTTCAGTGCTAATGATCCCGGGGGCGTCGGTGAGCTGGTGCAGGATTACACGACGGCGTTTGAGGCCTGTAGATCCTTGGTTTGCCTGTCTGGATTCAGGGAGATTTGGGCCGATTACCTTCCGACGATTTATCCGGTCTGTGCGAATCTGACCTCGTTGAATTTGAGCTATGCTGATGTTAATGCTCATCAGCTGAAGCCGGTCATTCGCCACTGTCATAAGCTGCAGATATTCTGGGTATGTATTGTGTTGTGGCATTGTGAGTTTTGTTGGGACTGCATTGTTAAGGATTTGAATCTGAATTTAGATTTGGGCTTATTGGTGTTTGGATGTTCTTGTGCAGGTACTTGATTCTATATGTGATGAAGGACTTCAGGCAGTGGCTGCTACTTGCAAGGACTTGCGTGAGCTTCGGGTTTTTCCTGTGGATGCAAGGGAGGGGACTGAAGGGCCTGTCTCTGAGGTGGGGTTTGAAGCCATTTCACAAGGTTGTAGGAAGTTGGAATCGATTTTGTATTTCTGCCAGAGGATGACTAATGCGGCTGTGGTGGCTATGTCAAAGAACTGCCCAGATCTTGTGGTGTTTCGTTTGTGTATTATTGGGCGGTACAGACCAGATCCTGTGACGCAGGAACCCATGGATGAGGGTTTTGGTGCTATTGTTATGAATTGCAAGAAGCTCACTAGGCTAGCTGTGTCTGGTTTGCTGACTGATCGTGCTTTTGAGTACATTGGGAGGTATGGGAAATTGGTTAGGACACTGTCGGTTGCCTTTGCTGGGGACACTGACATGGGCCTTAAGTATGTGCTTGAAGGATGCCCTAATTTGCAAAAGCTTGAAATTAGGGATAGTCCTTTTGGGGATGGAGCTCTGCGATCCGGTTTGCATCATTACTATAACATGAGATTCCTCTGGATGTCGACCTGTAAGTTGACGCGCCAAGCTTGCCAAGAGGTTGCACAAGCATTGCCCAACCTGGTTTTGGAAGTCATCAACAACAGTGAGGAGAATGCAGGTGATGATATTGAGGTATTGTACATGTATCGGTCTCTTGATGGGCCACGGGATGATGCCCCAATATTTGTTAACATCCTGCATTAGATTTTTACTTTTTAATTCAAGAAGATTTTAGCTCTTTCCAGTGGTAGCTGGTCGATGAAACATGATGGAGCAGGGGATTTTAAATGAACCTGCCAGAAGATTTCTCTGATATCCATGGCAAACGAAGTTAAGCTTACAATTCCTGTTCGTGGTGTGGGCTGCAGTGATGGCAAGCCCCAAAGCTGCTATTGGGGAGGGGGGTTGGGAAAAATTCTCTATTTGCCCTTGTTTATGTTAGAGGAAGGGATGGAAGAGGGAATAGAATAATAGGAAGGGGTAGCGGGAGAATGATTCAGAAATGAAGACCTGCAGAATTCAATGTTGTTGTATCGTCAGTTTAAGTTTATGTAATTTTTTTTCCTTATATTCATTTATCATAACGAAAATTTGCCCAAGGAGGGGGAAGTAGAGATTGCCGAAGCTACTCCGAGGATTGGTTAATAAGCATTATTTCATTTCCTTGGTCTAATAGAGGTACATTGAGAGCAGATTCAGAAGGATTAAATCAGAAGGTTTGGAGAGGTGATGTTCTCTAACTTATCCATCATACCTTACCAGTAGAGATGCAAAAAATGTATTCACTTTGCAAGGAACTTAGACTGTTTATTTGGATTCGAATGATAGTTAGTTGAAGCTTTGGCTGGGGAGAATCCAAACTCCAGACTGTGACATAAACCTATCTGTCTCCCTAATCTCAATTTTTATTTTATTTTTTAATTTTATGTTCACGGATGTGTTGCTGTAGCACCTGACTGTTGAATTTATTGTTATTGTTAGCAATTGTGAGATGGTTAATAAATGCCAGAATATGCATGGACCATCCTGTGTCTATATCTTTCGTTTTCTGAATGTGGAATGATCGACAGTGAGACCTATTAATTATGTGTGGAAAGTGTTATTCAAGTACACGTTGCAGGACACCCCCTTTCTTCTCGTGGGGTTCCATTTACACGCCGTGAGGATCCATCTCTTTTAACAGAAAAAAAAAAATAGAGGGAGGGATTGTTTGATGGTTATGAGCTTCCATCAGATCTAATTGAGGGGCTCTTTCCATCGCTCAGTTACCTTGCCTCACAGAACCCTTCATAATTCACATTCCTATTAGTTTATGTATAGACTGAAGAAGTATAATTTATTAGCTAGAGACTGAATAATTTGCGTGTGCTTGGAATATAGATATTATATTAGGGTGATGTATGTATGTATGTATAAAATCATATGGCTTCAACAGGGTGAGGGGACCAATAATTTGATGACTGGTCTCCCCTCCTGCGTTTGCGTTATAAAGCGGCCAAGTCCACTAACGGACTATCTCTCTCTCTCATTATTAGGTGAGAAATCCATCTCCCTCTCTTGTTGGTATTCAATCTGGCATGAGGCAGAATGGTTAAAGTAAACATAACATCAAAGTGGGATCTGACTGTGCAACTAAGTGATGGGAAGCAAAGCTTTGGCTCTCTTTTCTGTTTATCCATTTGCTACTGCAGCAAGTGGAGTGAACCCAGTGGTCTCTCCTTGCCACTGGCCCCCTTACAATTGGCTATTTCCCTTCTCTTTCCTTGTCCCTGACTCAGATTGCTTTGGTGGGAGGAGGACAAGAGCCTTGTGCAGGGAACACTGAACTGAAACAAATAAAGGGTCATTCCCTTCTCATAACAAGGCTTTGGCTTATCCATATTATTGCTTATGGTGGGAATAGCCCCCTGGATGGTCATTACCATAGAATAGCTGTCTTTGCCTTTTAACCATATCCTTTTTCTGTTTGCCTTTCGTTCTTCTTTACGAGTAGCCATCACTGTCCCCTAGGAGAAAAGAAAAACAAAATAAGTGAAAACAAATTGATAATGACCTTCTACAAGAAGATTGATTCTCCTCCACTGTCATTAGTTTCAATTATAGCCGTCGGATGCGTTTGAATGACCATCGTGATGGTCCTATCTTACCTGCTGGCCACCCCTAAGATCAAGTCCATCGCTTTTAAAATAATTTTTCATCAATTTGCATGGTCGTGAATAAACAAGTATCAACACACATCCCGAACCCGATCAGGTTGTCACATGCATTATACTGTTTACTTAGCACACATACGCTCTGATAATAACTTACAATAATTATATTGAGTTGCAGTTCTAAAAAGTTGATTCTTTGGGCTGGTTGGTGAAGACCCATATAGGGTCTGGCCCACCCCCTGATCTTTTGGTTATGTGGGCCACGTGTACGGTTTTGGGGTTGGGATACATTAATGCCTTTGTGCACATTAAGATATTAGATAATCATGCATTTAACAATAATGATATCAGGGTTGATAAAAATAATGGTGGGGAGCCAGAATGCAGAATCTAACAAACAAGGAAGCCATCAACTAGTTGGCAGTGGCAGTGGGTGGCGTTGGTGCCTTGGTGGGGGAAGGAAAATTTAGGAAGGTCGGTGAAGCCTACTCTACTACAAAGGGTTTTTGGTTTTTACAACTTTTGTCTGTTAAGCACATTTCATAGCTGATCTAAGCACGAGGTCAACCACTAAAGAATGCTGTCCTCAGTGTGCTATACCACTGGATTAAGCTACTTCACTATGCAATTATCTTATCTCAAATTAGATAATCAGTCACGCATTCTTTTCTTTCCAAGCACTATTTCCAGGATTGATCTTCACTTATTCCCGAGTGAACCCGTTTCACATTTGTATGTGCTCTGGACCATGTCAGGATAGCAACTTTAGAGAAAAGTCAGATGAATTTTCATGTGCAATGCAAACGAGTACGCGGACCGCTTTATAATTAATGAATACTATGATAACACTGCACCACTATGTGCGCAAAACACAAATTTTTTATCCAGTGACGCAAAATGCTGACTAACAATTTCCGATTCCTTTCATAAGAAATGAATATAATCTCTTCAACAAATAACTGATTATGTAGTCTGTTCACTGAGAAATCATGTCTGTTTTCATGGTTCAATCTAGATAAATTTTAAAATCTACAAGTTTTGAGCATTTTATCCAACTGTTCAGTACGAACACATGGATCGGCCTGGTGGATTTAACAGTTTTTAAAGAAAATACAAACACGTACTAAATTGCTGCATGTGCTCAAAGTTGTGATTGAAGACCTTCTTCTCTAAACAATGTTTTCCTCTTCTCTTACTTGGAACTCCTTAGAGGTAGTAGATGGATATTTTTAGAATACACTTTGTGTACACATCAGGCAAGAGTAATTGGATACCAGTTTGTTGGGTGAGTACCCATTACGTGGGTGTGCCTTACTGTCGTTGTTGTTTGCAGGATGGGATTGACACTGATGTAAGACACGTATAACCCAAGAATAATCGTGGTATGTTGTTTGTATCAGTTGTCAGAGATGGTCTTGTTCTTGCAGCAAATGGACCATTGGGATTTCTGTGATATGGGTTTGGGTTAAGGATCTGATGAGGAGCAAGTTAATTTTCAGTTCGTGGGATGTGCTCTCCAATCACAACCAGTTGAAATCAAATCATCAATTGGAAACGCCTCTATTTGGTTTAACCTTTATACAAGACTTGATATTTTCCTCTGAAGTTTACACCACCATATAAAACTTCCAATTGTAGAGTGAACACGTCATTAGGACTTACGAGGGTCTCTCTTAAAGTATCATTTTTGCTTTTAGCTGAAATCCATGGTGTGTAACAATGCACGAATGATCTTGCCATCACATATGTGGACCATTGAAGGGATGAGACATGCACTAGAATATTAAATGGCTCTTGTCCATAAATCACCCATAATACACTAGTCAAGTCAGATTGTCGGAATCTCTTCAGAGAAGTTGCTCAATTTAGCCCCTCAAAAGTTTAATCATATTACAGATAGCCATTGAAGAAAAGGTTTTCAAAATAGGGAAAGTAGCATCATCCCCTACCTCAGTATCTTTGTCCATTCCTAAACATGATTTGAAAACTTTGGGAGATGAGCGTTTGTGCAATGTGCAACAATACTTTTTGGTTTTTACAAATATCTATCTTTTCCATTCCCTGTGAACTCTTATCAATTTCCCCCACATTACATATATAGTACATGCACATACAAAAAGTAAACACATTCTTAGCCTTAAGAGTGCCATTAGGGCTCCTCATTTTGATAATGTGGAGGGGCCACTTCCTTGTACAAAATTGACAGATGGGTCATCCATAATAGATGGTTTATCTCAGTCTTTGCCTCCATGTTGACATCATTTTTGTGTCCTATTCTTCTTTAAGTGGAACTATGAACTTGTTATGCTCCAATGGTTGTAAATCAATGAACTCATTGATCGGATCAAACAGCTTCACCCACTGGTGGCATATCTAAAACTTAAGTTTCATGAACTTAGAACTACAATTCTCACCCACCTTTAAAACGACCATACACTTTGTTTGGTTTCATGATTTGGCAAAAAGAAAACATTTCAACAGAGGAAACTTCTACTTTGGTCTTTTTAACATAGTAAACACCATTCATTTTAATATCTAAACATCAAAACCTTTTGTGACATATATAATTATTCTTATCTTCCACTTATTATTTTATTTTCCACACTCCTGAATTCTAGATTGAGTTTAGTCTCAGTCTACAATGATTATATACGAAACTTGTAAATAGAGTGTATATTCTCTCCTTCACTAAAATTTACATTAAAAGAGAAACACACACAGAGATACTAAAAATTTAACACATTATCTAACCACTTTGTATGAATCTATCTCTCTTGTTAAAAAATTTCAGTACAAAAAAACACAAGTATCAAATCATACTGTTCAAATTCTTTGCAACTAAATTTTGTGAAGTTACAAACTAAAATCACTTCCTCATTATCTCAGGACCAATGTGGAGGTGTTCTGCATTACAAATTTATTTCCCAACTATCTCTTTATTAGTATCCATCAGAATTACCACTTCCAAGTTAACTCTGTCCCATCTCAACTACTTGGTATATCTTACAAAAGTCACATGGAACTATGATACCCTATACATTTGGAACTCATTCTAAATCAACAAATAGGTGAAGCCCAAACCTAACTTTCAAAAAAGAAAGTGGTGTCGTCAGGTCAGGGGTCACTTCAGCTCTTGAATCAAATTGGCCTCTCCGATAAAGCAGCTACCATATATGACTGTCACGTATCAGCTTCAAGATGGTCAAGAAGGGAGATATGAAACCTCAAAAGAAAAGAAATTTGCTGGTTTCTAAATTTATGGTGGAGCCCAATTTGGTCATGATGGATCTTAACCTAACCAATACTACAAATAATACCAGCAAAACTCCACACAAAAACCAACAAACTTTTCAAGCATACATACACCCTCCCCCAAGTAAGAAAATCAATGAAAAGAAAAGGGCCTCATTTTGATTAAGAAATGCATGCTCGCCATTAATCATTCCATATTTCCATCATCATATTTGAAGTGCACTAGAAATAAATAGGATATATCTAAGACACATCATCTGCAAACGAAAACTATGATGAACACTCTTATTCGTAAAATGCTTAAATCTTGAGTAATAGTAACAACAAAAGAACGGTATACTATTATTATTTGACAGTTATTCAAAAGTGTCTAATTCAAATAAACGTCCCCTTTTGAAGAATCAAACCCTGCATTGCTTTAAACCAATAGTCACAGAATCATAAGAAATATCTCTTGCTTTAGAATGCTACATTTTAAGGGGAAATTTACGATAATAACATAAACCTACCAACTTGTGGCTCTCATCATACATTGACTACAATATCATTATACTGCTACGGTACAGAAAATGTTTAGGATATGAGTCGCAACAACTTGGTCAACAACCTGAGAACATGGCAATAGATGCATGCAAAGAGAACAATAAGGGGTGAAAGAGAGTCTAGTTGGGAAATTAGGACTATTGCTAGTTTGGTTTCATTACAACTATAAAATAAAACTATTTATTGACTAATTATTTTGACATTGAGTAGCCGCCAGAACAATAGGTACAAGGTACATATAACACATATTTCATTATCTCTTGTTCAGTGATAACCTTGAACCATTCCAATTAGGCACTAATCGCTATCATAAGAACATGCACATCACTCTAACGGGGAGAAACTGAAAGAGGCAAGGTTCTTGGTTCATTCACATCATTATTACCATCGTTTACAAGACACCCCTTTGAGATAATGAACGAAAAATGTTTTGTACTTGCCACTTCCCAAGTGAAATAGATTTCGGGTTGACTAGTTGAAGCTACGATGATTCGTTCCTGATATCAAATGATTTTTTGATTTCCAAGACTTCAAGTTTACGGTATTCTCCCTTCCAACTACACTTCCTGATTCGTTATGGATCTCAATTTGCTCAAAAGGGCCAGGTCCAAAAGATGAAGCCCGACGTTTGGCCCGAAATCAAATGTATATAGAATGTAGAATGGTGCCAAAATATGGATGCATAAATAGAAATTCACTTACACATTTGAAGTTTTTTTAGTGTTATATATGCGAAATATTTTTTAATTTTATCGATGGCTATTTTTTGTTGTAAAATCTTACAAACCATTGTTAGAAGAGTTTTCTCTCTCTCTCTCTCTCTTTTTTTTATCACAAAGCTCTAATATAGGACTTTAGTTAAGGAATTTAGTTCAAGTTCATATTTCTGAACACAAGTATAAATATTTTTTTATTGTGTTTTTTTTATAAGAAGCAGAACTTACTTTTAATAATAAAAATACTTGTAAGAATATAAAAGACAAATATAAGAAAACTAGTAGAAAAGCAAGCAAAAGCAGGGATTTTATTTATTTATTTTAAATATCAATCGATCATTCGTCCAAAATATTAAAATATAAGCAAAAATAATAATTTAGAAAAAATGTAATAAAACAACCAAAAAGTCTTTAATTTTATAGTTTTAAATATTTTTATTATTTTTTAATGTTTGGAAAAGTGATTTATAAAAAATAAAAAAAATGAATAGGACATAAAATAAACAAATGATTGACACTTCCCTTTTTTTATTA